TCAATTGGTGGTGGATGGCGAACCTCTTACTGTTTCTGATGATATAAAAATTTTAGGAGTCACATTGGATCATCAGTTGAGGTTTGAGGAGCATGTGGCCAGGTGCTTGAGGGGTGGGTATGGCGCCCTGCGTCTCTTGTATGCCCATAGGGATGTCTTAAGTAAAAAATTAAAAATTATGCTGTGTGATAGCTTGGTTCTAAGCAAATTAAATCACTGCGACGTTGTTTATGGTCCAAATTTAACGGAGGCGAGTGGGCGTCGTATCCAGAACCTTCAGAACGGTTGTCTGAGGTTTATTTACGGAATTCGTAAATATGACCATATTAGTCATAAGTTGGCAGAGACTGGGTGGTTGAACATGAAAAACAGACGTAAACTGCATGCAACTTGCGTTTATTATAAAATTATTAAAAGTCAGCGGCCTCCTTACTTGCTGCAACGCCTATCTTTCAGAAGCGATGTCCATAACATTAATATAAGGAGGAAAGATGTATTGACGGTACCACGCCGCGCCTCGCACCGATCCTTTTCCTACCAGATAGCTAAAACGTACAATGATCTACCTATGAACCTTATAGGATTGAACTGTATTTCGTTCAAGAGTAAATTAAAATCCTCCCTCCTGCTTGAGTCATCATGATTTTTTTTTTTTATTATATTCTGAGTTACTAATGTATCGCTTTATACTGGCATGTCGTCGTATTTTGTTATTGTGTTTTTTTTTTCATTTTGTTTATTAGTATTGTTAAAAACATTCTCATTTTTGCTTTATATATATATTTTCTATATATTCTGGATTAAGTGGAAGAGCAGTTGGTTAATAACCAAACTGAACTTCGTCCAGAAAATAAGTATTTTCTAAGAGTATATTATTATTTTCTTTCCTTTTTTTTGCGACTTATTAATAAAGGCATTATTATTATTATTATTTCATTTCTTTCATCTCTAATAAAACTTTTTTTACATACAACATTTCAAATCTTTCAAAATAGTAAAACCTGATCCTATTCAATCCATCGGAGACACACTTCTCGAGGGTGTTTGTATTTAACCAAAGTAAACATACCTTCTTGCAAGATTGATATCTTTTCACCCTGCTTTAGATGATCCTTGTGATAATATCCTCTGGATACAGCAAATCTTGGTTCCCACGATTGTATACATCGAGGAATACAACGTCTTAAATAAACTTAACAATAAGTAACAAGTTGCAACGAAGCAAGTTGAGCTAACAGTTCGCCCTCTTTTATTTAACCGTTTCTTTTTCATCTTTTCAAACACTTTTTTTGAGTGAGTGTAAAAAACGGGATGGTAATAGAAACGAAAGTGGTAAAGACACAAAACTGTTCAAACAAAATTATTGAAACGGCGTATGTACACTGACCAATCGCTAATGGATGAGTAAACACGGTAAAGTCTCTAATGTATTTTATAACAGTTCTGGTTCAAATCTCGCAGATATATTTATTTGGTCTTCTTCGCATATTGTGTAATCTTGTCTAATAATAATTATTATAATTACTAAAATTATAGCTATGAGGATATTCCCAATTATAACAAAAAGAAGAACTTTTTCTTGCGTGGTCCAATCGCAAAAACTTAATATTGATTGCGGCCTAAAAATTCTTGATCCGGAATAAATGCTCGAACTTGCCGCTCCGGGAAGAGGTCTTCTTATCGGAAATTCTATACATAAAATGAAATAAAAAATCACTCAATTAAAAGAAAAGTAATTTACCAATCGTGCTTCTCAAATTTCCACTCATTTTAAAATGTGAATTCCAATAAAATTCTATTCCAACTAGAGATAATATTGACGTTCTACTTATTTGTCAAATAAAAATTTTTAAATTCTGTATTTGACATAAAAAATGTCCCGATCCGAATTAAATTAAAGTAAATTAAAAGCAATTTTCCGTTTTGCCAAACTCGGACCGAACCCGAATACAATCGGAATTACCGAATCTCGGAAAAGTTCGGCATCCGGTCCCGCCAAATAGAGGGTTCCGGACGGCGATTATATACAAGTTTTCGAGCGACATTTTTCAATTCCGGAATTTAATTATCGCGGGGCGTTCCGGGGGCGGGAATTCACGCTATCGAACTGCCTCCCACAACTCCGGGTCTCAGAGAATGCTAATAGTATTTCAATTAGATTTAAGAAGTTTCAAAGAGTTTCCGTCTGGCGATGACAGCCCGGGATATCTCGTCCGATTTTATATACCCCGTTATATTCAATTCGAGTCTCAACACCATCGGCAACCCTTATATATAAATTGAGTTTTCGATATCTTTACAGGACAGTATTCAGTTCTTTTTGGAATTCGTTTTCAATAGAAATCAGTTCAACCAATTTAGCTAGCGACTTTTACCAAACAGAAAATTTTTTATTTTTGTACACTTTCACAAATATTAATGTGATGTTCTGTTTCATTTTCTTAATTAATAGTTTTCTTCTCCTTCCTATCACTTAAATCTACATCATGAGTAGTGATGGCACGAAATTTATGTATTATATAAGGATGATTCAAATCTAGCATTCAAAAATCTTCTTTTCCCATGAGTCTTCGTTTCCGAGATAGTCGTTTTTTAACTAATTTTGAATTGTATGTCCCATAATTGAATTATATTCAAAATTGTATTTGCCACAGCCATTCCAGTATGACTTCCTGGAAAGCTCTCGCAACTCAGCACAATGTTTTCCCTCTTTCATTCATTTGTTATCCAATGTCCTGTAGTTTCTCCAATATCCAGGAAGCTCATTTTCACCAATAGCCAGGAATATCCAGGATCTGATTCTGTAAAAATTTTGTTTGTAGCGATCTTTGATTGTTAATGTTACAGCATCTTATGTCATGAGCAGTACAATGTCTAAAAGTCTCCTCGATTGCAAACTTTTGCATAAACATGAAAGAGTTCGGCTTGTGTCTAATTTTTGGTTTTATGAGTATTAACCCTTAGAACACCAGACAACAACCTTTTTATGACTTATATACAGGATGGGCCAAATTGGGAAACTCCTATTTCTATAAGAGATAGAGCAAAAATGATTTCGAAAAATCGTCATAACTTTTTCTTATTGATAAATCTTCCTTTCTGTGGAAACATTTCCAAAGCAACTTTTTATGAGAAATTCGATTGAATAAGTTACCTTTCCCTCAAAGCAATATTTTAGACGTTATTGACATAAAAATGATTTTTTTTAATGGAACACCCTATATATTTTTGTAAATTCGACGAGTGCATAAAATTTCCTTTCCAAAAATATAGCACACTTGATATTTCGTTCAAGTTTTCTTTAAAACTTATATGTGCAGTTATTGAAAAAGTAGGCTTTAGAAATAAAAGAAAAACGAGATTATATTTGTAAGTAGTATCAAGATAGTTGGTTACAATGAATTAAAATCTCTTTTTAGCCCTTTTTGGCGAGTTGATAATCTCAATGGATCAAAGTGTTGCAAAAGCATTCACAATTGTGGCTTCTAATTGCTGTTGGAAATTTCTTGGTTTTTTATAGATAACATCTTTCAATCTTCCCCAAAGGAAAAAATCCGTAGGTGTTAGGTCCGGTGACGAGCCGCCCAACGAATAGAACCTTGATTACCTAACCAACAATCACCAAAAGCTGCAGTCAATAAATTGGTGACAATAGCAGCATTGTGAGGCGATGCGCCATCATGTTAAAAAAATACATTTTGCAGGTGCGCTAGAGATAAATCGTCAACAATTTACAATTTACGTCAACTTTTACAAGCATGTAGAGGGTCTAGATTGGCACTTTGTATCAGACCCGACGCTTGATGTTGAAACAAAATTTAATAATTTTAGCAAAATTCTGTATGCATTAATAAACTACAATTTCCCCTTAAAACAAAAACCAAAAACACAAAAATGTAAAATAGTACCTGACGTTAATTTAGAGAACGCTCGTGAAACTGTAAACTTTTTAAGGGAATGGTGTACTATTATGGTGTAATATCTATTCTACGGCTATTAATAACGAATTGCAAAGGCAGAATGATGAAAGGATCTTTCATCATTCTTTCACGGATCTTGTTGGCCGATAACAAGTCAAAAGTGTCTTGGGAGATTATAAAAGAATATACAAAAAAAGCAGAAGTTGATACGTCTTGTTCTATTTCAGCAAATGATTTTAATGATTATTTTTCAAGTACCGCGCGTGACATCATCAACGCTATACCACATACAAATAAATCCCCCACGGACTATATAAGATACAAAACCTTTACTTTTAGAGATGTAACCTTTATAGAGGTTCGAGATGCAATAGAGGGATTGAAGAATAGAAACAGCAAAGACGCGTACAACCTAAACACAAAAATTTTAAAATCTATAGTATCTGAAAGCATTTATAAAACTGAAGTGAAGTTCCTAGGAGTTTATCTTGATTCCACATTAGTTTGGGACAAACATATAGAACATATTTCGGGACAATTGTGCAAGACCACTTATCTCCTAAGAAATTTATTTAGTAAAATCAGTACAAAACTGATGTTGCTGATATCATGGGGTCATTCTTACCACATGCACAGAATCTTTAAATTGTAACGACGGGCTATACGTATTATCATGGGATTGCAGTATAGAGATGATGTGAGGGATTTTTTTGTAAGTCTCAATATAATGACAGTTCCATGTCTATATATACCTATATAGAACTTTAATATATTTAAAAAGTAATCTCTCAAGATACCAAACAGTTCAGAGTGTGCATAATCACACCGTACGATCGCACCAAAATATCAGAACCCCTTTTACAAGAGTGGCTAGAGGTCGAAATGCTGTCAACCATTTTGGGCCGTCACTTTATAATAAATTGCCACAAGATGTAAGGCATCTTCCAGTGAAACATTTTAACACTAAAATAAAAGACTACTTGCTTAGACGTGCCTTTTATTCCGTAGAAGACTTTGACTTTACATAACATATTTTAATATACATATCTTACTACATATTTGAATTATTTTATTTATATATTTAATTATTTTAATTTTATTATACATATGTGTATGCTATTATTATATATTTTGTTTGTATTTTATGTGACTTGTGTAATGAATGTAATGTTCTGTGACACCAATAAATCTGAAAAACAATAGGTTCGATTTCTTGCCTAAATATGTCCAAATATTTTATTTGTGCTGTGCGAAAGAAAAATTGCGTTCTTCGCCACATTTTCCCAAGAACCATTGGCAAAAATTCATGCGCCGCGCCGTTCAAAATCTTCTGGTCTGGGATAATTTGAGACTTTGCTAGTTCTGTATGGCATAAATCTAAATTTTTTCAAAATGCTTTGGTTCTTGAAATTCCCGTGGTTACACTCAATTGCCGACTCAATTGATATCTGTGGATTATTTTCCATTGCCCCTAAAACTACTACTTCTTCTAATTCCCCGTCTTCATTCAATGTATAAGTTTTTGATTTTTTCTTTTCGAAATGACCGCTAGTTCGTAGATTATATCATAAATAGGAAATAGAAAATATCATTAAAAGGTTGCCACCTCTCTGGACGTCGTTCATGATATAAATTTCCTGCAGCCTCTGCATTCTCCCCAGATTGTATAAAACAAACTATCATGTCCCATTTTTCATAGTTTTTATATGAGATTATTTTGAAAGTTGATGACAACTAAGTAATACTCTAACCAAGTAGATGAATCAAAATTTGACAGACTCATAAACAATGCATTTGTTTTATCGAAGCGCCGTCAAAGCCCGCTAGCCTACTCGTAATTGAAATTCATAAAAGTTTCCAAGTTGTATATTTCAAAGAAGACTTGAACTGTTCTATATTTTTGGAAAGGAAATTTTATGCTCTGGTCCAATTTGCAAAAATATATTGGGTTTAAAAATAATCATTTTTATGTCAATAACTACTAAAATATTGCTTTGAGGGAAAGCTAACCTATACCATCGAATTCTACATCAAAGGTTGCTTTGGAAATATTTTCATAGAAAGGAGGATTTATCAAGAGGTATCTCTCGTTTTTCTTTTATTTCCAAAGCCTACTTTTTCAATAACTGCACATATAAGTTTTAAAGTTGTATATTTCAAAGAAAACTTGAACGAAATATCAAATGTGCTATATTTTTGGAAAGGAAATTTTATGCACTCGTCGAATTTGCAAAAATATATAGGGTGTTCCATTTAAAAAAATCATTTTTATGTCAATAACTACTAAAATATTGCTTTGAGGGAAAGCTAACTTATACCATCGAATTCTACATCAAAAGTTGGGGCGGGAATTCA